GAGCCAGTGTTGGGAACAATTTGTCTTCATAAAATGATATGTTTAAGAGTTCCTCTGGGTGTCTTGGATTACATCAGAATACATTTCGTTTGGTGGCTGGAAAGGCTGTAGAGGTGAAGGTGAGAAGTATACTTTAAGATTTATGGACGCAGAAGTTTCTGAAGACATAAGCAGAAGCAGGAAATTACTCAATACTTTCCTTCTCTGAAGGTTGGCAATTTGTCCCATATGCATATACACATCAGACCCTAAACTTCAGAAAAAGTCTGAGGGATGAAGTAAGGTCTGGGAGTTGGGTTCACTTACAGAATAAGAAATGCACTGAGCTGTTTCTATTTGTTTCAATTATGTGTTTTATTGTTTCATAGCTCTATTCTTTTTGTAACACTTGTTTTATGTTTTATACCCTGCTCTGGTACCCGCAGATGAATGGTGGGTTATAAATGTTTTAAATAAATAATAAATAAAAATTCCAGCAAGTGTAAGGTAAAGGTAAAGGGACCCCTGACCGTTAGGTCCAGTCGTGACCGACTCTGGAGTTGCAGCACTCATCTCGCTTTATTGGCCGAGGGAGCCGGCGTACAGCTTCTGGGTCATGTGGCCAGCATGACTAAGCCGCTTCTGGCGAACCAGAGCAGCGCACAGAAACGCCGTTTACCTTCCCACTGGAGCGGTATCTATTTATCTACTTGCACTTTGACGTGCTTTCGAACTGCTAGGTTGGCAGGAGCAGGGACCGAGCAACAGGAGCTCACCCCGTCGTGGGGATTTGAACCACCAACCTTCTGATCGGCAAGTCCTAGGCTCTGTGGTTTAACCCACAGCGCCATCCGCGTCCCACCAGCAAGTGTAGTCCAAACCAATTAATAGGTATCAAAATACAGGTATCGGTTTATTGTTTATTTTTCCTTTCATCTGGAAACAAGCAAACAAGCTCTTGGTGACAATTCATGTCCTTTAGTAGATCAGAACTCTTATCCTCTTTGTTTATGTTGAAAAGGAAATGGTATGAGTGATACAGAGATTTCCTTCTTCCCAATTTCTCCTTGGCTCATCTATCTCTGAGTGACACCTCCCATGAGCCAACTTCCTTCCTTCCTTCCTTCCTTCCTTCCTTCCTTCCTTCCTTCCTTCTCCGTGTTTTCTCAAATTTAGCAAGTTGTGGATGGAGGGAGTGAGGAGAGGACACATCCACCAAACCTTTTATGCAGTGATGGAGTTTGGGCTCTCAAATTTCACTGGCGCCTTGTGTGACGCTAAAAATCAGCCTCCCCCTGCCCCCCATTTGTGCTCCTTTCTACAGCATTGTTTGTGGCACCCACTACAAAGTTGTGGTCACGCATTGGTCACGCTACCCTAAAACCACCTCTACTTTATTTGCTGTTCTTGATTGTTGCCATTCACTCTTGGAAATCTAAGGGGTTTTTAGTAGGGTAGGAGCTAAAGAGAATTTCACATCTAGCAACCAATGTGCCCCTTTGGTTTCAGATAGTACATGGGTAGGCAAGTCTAAAAAGCCCAGGGCACACATTTTAACAGCCCTCTGGGGCTATGGTGCGTCACTTACCAGAAGTAAATTCAGCATTAACTCTGGAAGTGTATACTCAATCCTGACCAAACTTAGCCTCTTGGTGCATATGTTGTTCTAGGGGGCTTAGTTTGGTCAGAATCGAGTGTGCACTCATCTGGTAACAATACAGAGGTATTGTATTTTGATTTAAATTATAGTCATTATTTCTAAGCTTGCATCTATACATATAAATTAGCCGCTTCTTCTTCTTCTTCTTCTTCTTCTTCTTCTTCTTCTTCTTCTTCTTCTTCTTCTTCTTCTTCTTCTTCTTCTGCAATTCCATGTCCTCTTCTATCCTCTTTTTATTTCCTCTTTTTTGGCAAAGTGTTCTGAACCAGCCTGGAACTTGATTTGATGGCTCAGATGCACTCAGCTCCTGCTGTCTGCAGTGAGAACAGTATTATGGACTTGATGGGCTATTGGCTTACCCAGCAGGGTTCTATGTCTCTTGAGAAGTGCAGTGCGTTTTTTGTTAGCTTTTATTTAACTCTAATATTCCAGACAGTTCCAAGGAAGGCTAAATAACTACAGATTCCAGAATTTCTGTTCAAAGTGAATGGCCTTAGAAGAGAGTTGGAATCTCAGCAAGAGCTTTAGACAGATGTCTCTTTTTTTACAGATTATTAAGTCTGGGAAAGACACAATTCAAAGTGATCGTGTTTCCCTTTAAAACCCTAAATTTCTTTGGACCAAAGTACTGAAGGAACGCCTGCTCCCATACCAACCTGCCATTGAAATAATCTTAAAAGTCTCCTCCTTTATGGAATTTCCTCCCCAGAGAAGCCCAACATTGGTACCAACATTGGTTGGTGATGGCAATTTTATTATTATTATTACTTTCCCAGGTCTTGTAATGTATTAATGATTTTTGTAGTTTTATTCTTATTTTCTCTGGTAAACAGTCCCAGAAATAGCTAGATCTTTTAAATTAAATAAATGAGCTTGGAATGAACTTTGGAAACCCTGCAGTTTGATTCAAACTCTTAAACCAGGTTATAATTTTGGGCAGAGCAGTTTAAAAATCTGCATTCTGGATTTGTAAAGATAGTTTGCTGTTCAAATTTCATTTTTGATTTTAAAGTGTTTCTCTTAATCTGAAATCTGAGGACGCTGCAAATCTAGTCAATAACATTGTATTATATGAATGTTAGAGTCAAATCTAAAGAAATAATGGAAGAAAAATGAAATTGAAACTACAGAGAGAACATACAGAAAAGGTGAGTACCCAGAAAAGGATAACAAGATGAATGGAAGGCTTTGAAGAGATCTATTATGGTAGTACAAGCCTAAAATAAATTATTTTGGTCTTCACTATTATTACCTTTTCATTTATGAGCTGTCATCCCCTGATTTTTTTTTTAAAAAAATCTCTAAGATTAACTTCGCTGAGAACTTCATGGGGTGAATGAAGCATTATTTTTTTTATTACTGCTTTTGGTTTCTGAGAGTAAGGATAAATAACGATACCACCAAATTATAATGCAGTTGGTTAATATTATCTTTCTCCAAATCTAATCTAAGCACCAGAATGAAAATGTATGACTTTAATTAATGCTACTCTGCCTATCTAGGCTCGAAGGCTGTGAAGAGTTTATGATGCATCATAGCATATTTAAAGCTCCATAAAATATATTCTTACTGTTTATTTGAAAACAGCAAAGATCGCCATGAGCACAAATTGTACTCCACATGTGAAGAAATCATTGCACTGACAACAAGAAAAGGCATTTATAATGCCATTCAAAAAATATTTTCATAGTTAATGAGTTATGTTTTTTGTGGTTTATTTAAAAGGGGAAAATATAGCTGGAGATGCATTACTGTGGCCTTCACAAAAACTATGTACACCCAAACAAGATCAGGGAAATGTAATACTTCTCCTAATACATATCAATATCATTAGAGCCTGCTGGATCAGACCGATGGCCCATCTAGTCCAGCATACTATTCTTGTATACTGGTATCTCAGGTTAAGTACTTAATTTGTTTCCGGAGTTCCATTCTTAACCTGAAACCGTTCTTAACCTGAAGCACCACTTTAGCTAATGGGGCCTCCTGCTGCTGCTGCCGTGCCACCAGAGCACGATTTCTGTTCTCATCCTGAAGCAATGTTCTTAACCCGAGGTATTATTTTTGGGTTAGCAGAGTCTATAACCTGAAGCGTATGTAACCTGAAGTGTATGTAACCACTGTACTGATTAGCCTATGGGAAATCCACAAAGGAAATCTATAGAGCTATTGTGTCAGGTTTACTCGAAGAACACAGAAATGGCATGGTCCATACTCAGAGTCCTTACAGTCACCATTGAATAGACAATTGCTGTAATAAACTACAAGCCCAAGAGGTCTAAAATATATGATAAGGCAGGAAAGATCAAAGCCATGATAAATTTTAAATGAATAGTGTGGACGGGTTGGGTGGAGCATGGTGGTACACAGTGGAGAAGGTAACAGAAGGTCAGTTTGTTTTAGAAAATGTTTGGGTTATTATTGTTGTTAGTGAAATTGAGGATGGTGAAGAGACCATTTCGCTGAATATTCTCCAGGGTAGATCGGACGTTCTGCCCAACCATTTAGGAGAGCATGACAAAACATAATAATAAATGGTCAGAAGTTTTGCAGTTGAAAATTTGGTTGTGACCTACCTGAAGAATCTATGCATGAAAGATGGAACAGTTGTCATCACTGACCATTGTCCATGCTTGCTGAGTCTGATGGGAGTTGGAGTCCATCCCTGCTATAGATGGAAGGATATATCATCCTCTAGGAGGAGTTAGAGGTTTGTCTTTTCCTACTTGACCTGATTTGACTGAAGTCAAATCCAACATCTTTCTTTCTTTCTTTCTTTCTTTCTTTCCTTACTTACTTTGCACTCTGCAATCTTCCAATATGGCTCAGGAGGACAAGTCTAGTGTTACTTCAACTGAAATTGAGCAACACAAGTTACCATATTGCAGTCATCTTTGGTTTCCCAACCTGAGGAAGTGTTCATAAAATATTTTGTTCTCTGATGTATTGCCTTTTATGATGCAAAGTAGGTTGAGCCAGAACTTAAAATAGGATTTGTATTGGGGATATGATAGGGATTTTTTGTAAATTAGGCAGTACTTTATGCTTCTCAATGCACCTTAGATTATAAGCATATTTAAACTGTAAGAGCTTAGAAGGGTGTTATGCCATTAGCATACATCATACACTCTATGACATACATAATGCAAATAATGGAAGCTGGATAGATTATCTTGATTTTTATCCTTGACCTGCTGCTATCTATCTAGTTATCTTAATAGAAATATATATGAGGACTGAATGCTGACTGTGTGCTGTATATACATTTTTAATATAGCGCGGTTTTAGAATTCATTTATTCATTTTGGGGGTAATGGAAGTTCCTGCTTGTTAAGAACAAAACAGAACATTAACATTAATGATACAACAGGAAGATGAAGCATGAAGGTAACTGATTATAAAAGGGATTTGGGGACAATAATGCATTGTTTTGGAGGAAGGAAAATATATTGCACTCAAATATCTGCAAAAACATTGCATGGAAATGCCACATCATACAGAATACAAAATCCGAAAAAGGAAGGTGGCAGTTTAATGCTTTATTAACTTGTGGGACAAATCTGTAAAGTCATTGAACAAAGACTTAAGGCTGATTCACACATGTTTACTCAGCAGTGAATGGAATCATCAGGTTTAGAAAGAATTATGTTTAAGCTGATGTCAGATATTTTCAGAAAGTTCTCTCAGTGGTATTTAATTGTTGTTGTTGTTTAGTCGTTTAGTCATGTCCGACTCTTCGTGACCCCATGGACCACAGCATGCCAGGCACTCCTGTCTTCGGTATTTAATTAGTGGCAACTGTTTACATACACAGGTTGTCCAACGAACATGTTTGTGTGAATGTGGCCAGAATACACCACCATGACAGTTTTAGAGATGAAGAAACTGTTTCATCACCAGTGAGCTAAGTGTATTGTGTTCTGCCCTTTGTATTGAGCTTCCATAAATTTTAATGAATTTCCAGTATGGTGGCTGCTCCTTCAGTGATATGGCAGGTGAATCTTAGCTCAAAATAAGCTGATCAAAATGGCAGAACCAAAATACCAAAGCCTGGAGTTCAAAAGCTGGAGGCAATATAATCTTAGTATAGAATCGTTATTGGTGTGCAAAAGTAAAATTATTTACTAGAGGAGATGGCAGAGAGAGTAAATTATGGCTCTTCTAAATTGGTCAATGGTTTGACTCAATATAAGGCAGCTTCATATGAGTTCAAAGCTTCACCAACTGCACCAGCTTGTTCGGAGTACCCCCAGGTAAAAGCTCATATATAACCTGTTTTGGGATGAGCATTTAGGGTACCATTTGGAGATTGTGCAATGGTACAAAATCTGGAGTTTCAGTTTTAGGCTAAAAGAAGAATCTTCAGAAGCCACACACAAAAATCTGAGGCAAAATCTGAATAAATGACCTCCAGCCTACTGCAGAGAAATGAAGAAGCAAATACAGTAATGAATGTTGTGTGCAATGTGGGAAAACTGATACGTGTCTTCATTGCTGTGGTAGGAGCATCTTGTAACCCAAAGGTTAAATATGGCTAACATGCAGTAATAACACTGTCCTGTTTGCAAGAATCCCAAACGACTGCTATTGACAGTGTAGCCCTGGAGCATCCCTTCTATAAACAGAACAGGACATGTCTGCCCACTGCAGGTATGAGCTAAAGCATGGGACTTGGTGGTAATAGAGAATGTGACCTCATAGATGAAAGAAATTAGATTCCAAAATAAGACTCTCTCTTGCTATTTAGTGGTCTCCTTTTATTTTCACATGTTTAATCCCCTGAAGAAAAGAAAAATACTCTTAATATTAATGCTAGGTGCATAGCCTTATATTGGTGCTAACTAAAACCTTCTCACACATCATTTTTATGATGTATGTGTACATTTCTTCTGAGGAATAAAACCTTTGAACATTAATGTTTTGTCTTTGTAACTGTTTGTATGTGATACATAGGCTGCAAATTCTATTGATTTTTTTTAGCTGAGTGGTTTTATTTTTTTTCTATTAATTAATCATTCATCTTTCGGTTGCTATGATTCATTTGATATTTGTTTTCTGGGTACACTGTGCATCAATGATATGCAAGACTTTTGTATTTGCGTAAAAATGAATAAACAGAATGTGGTGGGTTTGTTTTTTTAATAGTGTTAATATTTCTAGAGTTTTCCTGCAGTCTGTCAGGAGAAATAGCCTAGGCAATTGATTCAAAGTTTGTCAGAAAGGTTACTATGAACTCTAAATATAAACCCAGGCAAAATATGATATCAGGAGTATTATTCTTTCCACAAGGAACTGTGTTGCTATACTGGAGCCAAATCCAGCACTACTTTTAATAAAGTTATGATGCTTCTATATGTACCAAGTCAGTCTACCAGCATCTATTCTGACTGGTGGAAGTTCTCCCTAGTTGTACTGCCTAAGTTCTGAATTCCAGTTGGTAAGGAATGTTGTGCTCATGTCCTACTTAGGGTTTCCCATACACAGAGGCAGGACATTGTGTTTCACCCCTTGAGGCAAAACAGGAAAGTGTACACACACACACACACACACACACACACACACACACACCCCACGGCTTCCATGCCAAAGGCTCTCTTACTGGGGTCACACGGGTATGGTGGTTTCTGCCAAGATATGGTGGAGTTCTTTTGAGAGCTCACGAGAGTTCCACGAGATCCTGTGAGATCTCGCCAGAAGCCAATGCAGCACAACCCCTGCGGTGGCAGAGGCAGGCCTGTGGGGGCGCTGTTTTATGCAATTCCATTGAACAAGGTGGCTGCTTTAATCCGTCTGCTTTAAGGTGCACAGGTGGACCTTTGGCTAAACCCAACAAGGCTCTTCTTACTTTCTTATTCCCTGCTGCTCTAAGGTGGGTGAAACCAGAGAATGAACACATATAAATCATGGACTCTACTGAAAAGCTCCAGCCCCTCTCCTATAAATTCACCAGTGTTTGGCAGTCCCAATCTCAATAGCCATCTGAAACAGCTTTGGACAAGTATCTTATATAGATGTGAGTAGAAGTTCTTACATGATAGAATCCAACCAATACATTTTTTGTAAAAAAAAAAAAACTAGCTTCTGCAATTGGTGGGCCTTGAAAGTTACCCAGAGCAGTAAAGAGTTCTAAAACTCTGTGTTAGCTTTCTGTTCATTCCTCATCCGTTGCCAGAACAAGCATGCTGACCTCTCTCAGATCTCCTTAGCCATCGGAATAAAAGAGTGTCATTTCAATGCTCTCAAAGCCAGCAAGTCAATAGTTATTGCAAGAGAAAGATATAGTTTATATCCCACCATGGCACAGTTGTCTTGTTCAGTTATGGACTCCAACATTGCACATTGATTGGTTTTGCCTCTCTGCTTTGAAGTCACAGAAGCAGCAGAAAAAAAAGTCTTCCATGAAGTTGTGGCTTGTACCTGACTTCCACATTCTAGCAAACAGTTGTGTGTCTCTGTGTGTTTTACTGCTGCTATAAAAATCCCACAGTTCAAAATATAATAACACAGTTCAAGCACAATATTGATTTTGGGTTTATTTTAAACAAAGCTAACTGTTACATCTGATTAACAGTGCATCAGGTAATTTAAATTTGTAGGTGTGGTTTTAAACTCCATGTTTAAGAAGTTTCTCAATCCAGACAAGTTGATGGAAGTTGGGAGCATAATAATCATAGGGCTATTTTGCCACCAAATGTTATATAACTTACCCCAGTCAAATGTCAGTAATCAGGATTCTTAAGGGTGTTTCACTCGACTAAATGCACGATGCAAACCAAACCAGCGTCCTGTTCCCATCATTCAGTATTTCCTCAATTTAATATTAGTTACTGGGGTTAACTGGTGTGAGACAAAAGATCACCAGAGAGCCACAGATCGGGATGTGTGTGCCACTCTATAGTTTTAATAGCATCACTCCTTCTATTAGCAAACTTATGTGGTGAATGCCAGCATGACTGAAGCCAAAACGAGAAACAAGAGGGAGGCATCAGCAAGGGAACTCTGTGGTTTGTAGAAGTACAATAATAAAAAAAGCCTCTAAGGGGGCATTCCCCCTCAAAATCAAAAAGCAGCCCAAAGAGAACTGAACATGCTTGGTTGTCACAGAATGCTAAGTATTAACTGGTGAAGATTGGAAATTGGTGGAGATTAATTGGAAAACTGGAGAGGGACTAGATGAAATGGAGTATGTAGAGGAGAACATGACTGGCTTGCTGGAACACTGAATGACTGTTAGGGCATGGCAATATACTGCAACATTTTGTTGCAGGCCGCGCATGTTTCCATATAATTCTTATGTGTGGCTAATGAGTAAGCAAGCTGGCTTTCATTACTGAGTTTTTAATACTGCACTGTGTAAGTAATTAGGGCCAGACGCACTAGTAAATAAAACAGTGGTTGCTGAATGTAAATAGAACAATATTTATAGTGCAGCTAATAAATAAATACATTGGTTCATGCAAAGTCATTGCAGAAGTGTTTTCATTCTGTGTTTTTATTCCAAAAACATGTAGAAGAAAACTGCATTGGCCTTTGTTTCTGTCATATTCCAATAAACACAGAGTACCTGTTCTTCTGTGTTGACGGCAGATTTCATGCACACATATAGTGAGCCAGCGGAACTGCATTACCAGCACAGCAGGCCCTGGCACATGCATAAGCAATTAGACACAGAAACGATCATAATTGAATATCTCAACACTTTCTCCTACTATAGCTGACATGTCCCTCGCTAATTTATCTTCCTCTTTCCTTCCTAGAGAAATAGTCAACAGCTGTGGCATCAGACAGAACTTAATTTGGCAGCTGGAAAGCCCAGATGCCAGGCCCTGGAATTTACCTATAAACTTTTGGAAATATATATTTCTGGAAACCTTGTTGGGATCTGATGCCAATGGCCCTACTTGGCTTTATAAAACAAGCCTTTGCTAGTTAAATACCTGGCTTCCCTTCTGGAAGCCAGGCAGTTGTCCAAGATGGTAAATGCTGGTGTGTGCATGTAAGTTTTAAAACGAGAGTGAGAACGACTAAAACTGCAATCCTCTGATCGGTTGGGAATACATATTAAATGTGGTAGGACTTACTTTTGAGTAAATACAGATAAGACTGGGTTGTATCTGCAATAGCAGCTTCCACAGGTATGGAGTGTGATCAAAAATGTCACTGCATAATAAAAATGTGCATATTTGATGGGAAAAAATTGATCTAATAAATATTCCCCTTGTCTTGCTTTTGGGTTTCCCAGCAGCTTAGTTAAGCACTGATTTCTGTCCAGGACTTGGATGGAAAAAAGGTGAAAATTTACCAGGCTGAAACACACATTAATGGAAATGCTCTACAATAAGAATGAAAATGAGCTGATGGAGAATCATGGCTCAGCCACAGACAATTTTGTACTGGGTTCGCAAGCTGAATATGAAAAATAAAGTGTGTGTTGACCTTCTGTTCAATTATAACTGGAGCAATTCGTGGCACTGAACAGCTCCAGGTTGTAGAAACCTCCAAATGCACATGAATCACTGGATTATAAAAATATAGGAAGAGACCCTAAATTCTTTTTATGTGACACCCCCCCCCCGCCCTCCCCAACATTTCCTGAAGTTGCTTAGATCTAAGACAGAGTATTCTGCATTGCTTGTTACAGGATCAGCTTTTTGAAACAATGTTCTAGTCCGTGGTTTTCATTTATTTTATGGGAAACTGTAATGAAAGAGGTGACATTGACTTCATCCTGCCTATTACTGGAGCAAGCAGGATTCGCAGTTTATCTGTGCTTGCATATGTTATTACTTGCGCTAATTAATCCCATTTGCAAAGGCAAATTATGATTGGCATTTATCCTTAAAAATTAAGAGCTAATTACACAGAATATAATCTTCAAATTTGTATAAGGGGGAGCTCTGATTTTGTGTGCGGAAGAGAGAATGTTTAAGTAAATTGGCTCAATGTATACAATATTTGCATATGCTAATTAGTCACTGCTTCATTGTATTTGCCCCAGCAGGCGGGTTAAGTTCTCATTACTCAAGTTGCTGCCTTGTGAGTAAAGGCTGACAGCAGATCTGCTCTGAGGCTGGTCTAGAACACTAAGCAAGCTGTGAATCCGTTTAATCCCACTGGTTGGCACTCAGATGAAAGAGCACCACTTTTATGATTAATGACCTTGATAGATTTTAGTGCAAACACTGTTTCTTTCAAAGGACTCAGATGTTTCTGAGCATGACTTTCAAAGAAGCATGAGCTGTAAACTATTTTTAGGGAACCAATGTACCAGTTGTCAAGATGGAGTACCTTAGGTTAAGCCAAAATTTCTCAAGATTTTAAAGTTCACCCCCAGCTCCTTGATTGTACCTTCTGCGTAACCAATCCAGTGTTGAAAACCAGCACTATATGTTCCTGAGTGGAGCATGCAAAATTTCTTGTAAGAGTGACAGCTTCATAAATGGAGCAATAGGTTGTGGCCTTAAGTGGAGTTGGGTACAACATCCCTGACTCCTCTTGAAACAATACAGAGAGAAACAACACTGAAACAAAGCATGTCTTATTAAATTAGGTTGGATCCAATCTGGGTCTGTGGGAAACTTTTGAGGCAGTCAATACATCTTTGTCTTATCTGGTGGGGAAACAAATGTCTTCTCTTTCCTTCATATGTTGGTTTCCCCCTTCAGTGAAGGAGCACATCACCTCATAGTTTGGAAAGCCACTGAGGATGAGTTTCCATGTGCCCGTTGTTGAATGACTGTAGCATCAAGTGATGCTTTGCATGTCTGAAGCAGCCATCACAAGTCTGGTTCTAGGCAGAATTCTCAAGCCCTCATGTGTCACCTCCGTGCTGTAGCCTTTTAAATGGGGGTGGGAAAATTCTGTTTGTTATTACTGTATGCATTTTTGTGTCTTCATATTGTAAAACTGTGGTCTTTGGATGAGGAGTGGTATAGAAATATAATAAGTAATAACAATAACAACACTTCCCTTTTTCCACAGATACAGGATTGGGTCCAGACTTAATAATGCTGAAAGCAAATCCATTAGAAACAGTGGGACTCATGACTATTAAGTCCCAGTTATTTCAATAGGTCTATTTGGAGCATCCAAACCACTTTCAGTGCTTTTAAGTTATGTTGTTCCATGATCATGCAGTTGTAGCCTGGTTTATAATTTCACAAGGGTGAGAATCTATATAAATGCCATGGTACAATGTAGCTTGCTCAACATTTCTTGGTGATTTGCCCTTTATTTAACAAGTCATTGGTCCATCAAGCCCAGTATTTTCTTCCCTAATAGACAGTTCTTCAGTGCTTCTGGTGAAGCATTTCCCCAGACCTTTTACTGAGATGCTGAATCCTAGACCTAATGAATGCAAAACTCATGTTCTCTGCCTAAACTATGGGCTCTCTTGCTATATTCTCCCTTTCTACCTACCTATTTTGGTAGCCTCCCAAATAATATGTTTAAGTCAGAACTGGTTTTGGTGCAACATTATGGGTTTTTTTCCACTTCCTAAAATCATTGAGTATAGCTCTAATAAGAGAGGTGATCATACTGAATATTATTTTTTTTTGAAAATGTCAGCTGGCTTTTCCAGCCTCCCTACATAAAAGGACCTGAAAATAATTTTAGTTCAGAAGTCTGCATCTGTGGAGTTCTCATTGACATCATAATGACTTTGAATTTCACCTGCATGCATTCTTTTAAAAGGGACTTATAAAAATTTCTCTCCAAAGGCTTCTTACTGAGTAGGTTATTATTTGCATAATATTTTGCTGCCAAGCCTTCGGGGTTACACAAATTTAATCACGATGGGAAAAAGAGTAAGACTTCAATAGGTATTGGCAAAAATCTAACACTCCTGCACTTACTGAAGCTTATCTAAGAGTCCCAGGACAGATTCTTAATATTTTTGGATCTGCTCATGAATACTGACACCTGGTCCTGCACATTTTTATCTATTCTGAGTTTCTTCTGCTTTTTTTAAAAAAAAAAAATCCCCCCAGTAAACTCATTTAGTCTGAATTAGAATTTAAGGTCAACTGAATTCTTTCTAAACTTTCATAAAAAATAATAATTAAGGACTTTTGTTGTGGTTTAATTAAACAGACAACCACACAAACAAACAACATTGACTGTTCTGCAGAGAAACGTTTAGGTCCCTAGATGTAAAGATGGCAACCCAAAGTCACTTTTACGTTTCTAAAGTTGTTTGCATTTCTGAAACATTCTCCAGTATTGAAGTTCATGAATGTTATTAGACCATGAAGACACATTAACAGGCACCAAGGAAAGCAAGGAAAGCAATTTGCTTATGGCAATGCGCCTCTTTTTCTTTTCTTTTTTTACCATCCTTCACATGCAGACTGATGTTATACCCTTGTGAGTTTCCATGCTGGGTCCTTCCAGAGGCAGTTTTAGGGCATGACTGGTTCTGCCACAGTGGGTGCCGAGCCTAGAGGATGCTGCAGATGGGGAGGGCACTGAATTTTGGGCTCGCACAGTGCGCTGCTGAAATTTGAAATACAAAAGTCCGCTGTTGGTACTTCAGTTGCTGGAATGTGGAGTAGAGATGTGAACACTCGCAGTGTGATGACACCTTAGGAAGGACCTAAGTGAAAGGCAGGAGTTACAATATAGTTGTGTAGCATATTCAGTTGTTGTGCAGGAAGTGGTCAAGCCTGGCACAAAATGAGGGTCCTTTTTCAGCCTGAGGGCTGCAATGCCTTATGAGCAACCTTCTGGGACCACATTCTCATGGTGCGTAGGGCCAGGGGCAAAAGGTTTCACCGCAAAATATTTTTGTGGGAAATATTACACTGCAAAATATGTAGGATAGCATTCCCTTTCCAAAATGACCATGGATTCTAGCAGTTATATGAATTTCTTCACACTGCCCTATTAAACAGTAATATTCTTGAGAATTCCATAAAGTCTAAGACCAACTTTTCCTTCCCTGAGGATGGGTGTTTTGTAGCCAGTATTTAAACATATGGAAGGAAGGGAGGTATTGTAATGGAGACTGCTTACACCATACTACGTATTGCGATACATCTATCACCATTTTACAAGGCCCCAGTTTAATAAAAAAAAGAGAGATAATCTGTAGAATTTCTCCCAATCTGACATTCATGAAATGAACCTAGCCTATCTAAATTCGTTTTCTGTTCTCTGAGTTGAGTTTTTCCTGGAAATTTCATTTTGTGGTAATGCTCCAAAAGTACAGCTGGTGTTTAGATTTGCTTTTCAATAGAAATAAAGAAAAGCCATGTTTCATTCAGAGAGTTTGTTTTCACTTGGGTCATTGAGATCCTACATACGGTATTTTAAGCTTTGCAGCTCCTGAAATGGAAATAGTGAGGCTGTTGTATAATATCTGCTAGCAAGCAAGATGGCTGATCCCTACTTTATGGTTTATACTTGCCAAATTGCAAAATATACTGAAGAGCATGTGAACATAATGTTCTGTGCATTCCCTATGAGAAACCTAAGTGCTGGGGTCACCACTTCTGAGTATTTAAAGGACCCACAGATTTGCTTTCAGCCAAGTTGAGTGTCTTGTTCTTGAGAAGGTTCTATGTTGTTTAGAGAATGTTTAATAATGTGATATCCACTTAGAAATGAAATTGCATTGAATTGTTAAGAATATGTGTTAATTTTCTTAGGTATCTTCAGGAAACTTACAAAAGCAAGCACCATAAAAAGATACAAAGCATTACAAAAGCAACCAATATAAAAATATGCAAACAATAAAAACAAAACTAGCTTCAAGCAATAGTTTAACAATACAGTCATACCTCATGTTATGTCCGCTTCATGTTACGTTCTTTCGGGTTACGTCCCGCGGTGACCTGGAAGTACCGGAAAGGTTTACTTCCGGGTTTCGCTACTCGCGCATGCGCAGAAGCGGCGAATTGCAACCGTTGCGTGTGCAGACGCCCCGCTGCAGGTTGCAATCTTTTCATGTTGCAAACGGGCCTCCAGAACAGATCCTGTTCGCAACCAGATGTACCACTGTACAAGTGTACAAACAGTGCAACACAACACAACACAACACAACACAACACAATACAACCTATAAACCTCTTCCTACATCCATCCAGAACTGGTTGAACATCACTCATCTGATCAGAAGAATCTCTCACTAAGAGTATTTCTGTCTTGTCTCGATTGAGTTTCAGTTTGTTGGCCCTCATCCAATCCATTACCACGATGAAGTACTAGTTCATCACATTTACCATCTCACCTGAAGAGGGTGGAACGGAATAATAGAATTCATAGAAGAATAAAAAGAGATGTGTGTCCCCAGCATACTGATGACGGTGCTCTCCAAAACTCCAGATGACCCCACTCGGAAATTTCATATAAATATGAAATAGCATGGGGAAACAAGACCGAACCCTGCAAAACCCCACATTGGAAAGTCCATGGGATAAAACAATACCCCTCCCCCATGGGGAATCATCCCAATAAGTAGAAGCAACACCTCCCACTCCCAACTCAAAAAGTCTCTCCAGAAGTTTGTCCTAGTCAATAGTATTGATAGCCACTTAGAGATCCAGGAGAATCTACCAGTCACAATACTGTCTCTCCTGACAAAGGTAATCAAACAGGACAACCAAGCTGGTTTCTGTGCCAAAGCTGGAACACAACCATGACTGAAACCAACCCAGTTTCATTCAAGAGTACTGGAGTCTGGTTAGCAACCACCCACTCAAGGACCTTGTGCCGGAAAGGAATATTTGTCACCAGCATATAATTATTGAGGTCTTCCAGGTCCACGGTAGTTTGTCCCCCACCCCCAAGGAACACTCTTACCCTTTGGTATTGATCATCTCTGGGTAGCCAGATGTCTGCATCCTGCCAGTTGTTAAAAGCTATGAAGAACAAGTAGTCATCCAGGCACCCTGTCTATGTTCTTGAACTGTACCAGCTCATCTGAAACTTGGCCAACCATACTGAGCAAGCCAATGCTCTGGATACCTCTGTGATTTACCTGCTATGGTGATAAAGCCCAGGTCCCAGTCAATGAAATCTATTTTATCCACAGAAGACTTCACAAATGAGTCACAGTGGGCCTTTGATGGCTCCAATGCTTCATTTGAGCCAGCATGTAACAGGTCCAGAACAACCCCCCCAAAAAATCTCTACTGTGTGGCATAAAGAGGATGGAGAGAGAGGAGAACTTTTCGCTACCTGCTTCACTGCCACCAAATAGGCTTGAGAACGAGCATATAAAAGTGTTCACTTGCATTTGGTAGGATTTTTCCTTCAGCTGTGTTCCAGCCATCTCCCAGTATGGCTTACTCCCATGTCACTAGGCAAAAAATTCCACCGTAAATGACCAAAACACAGCATGGGTTATAGGACCCACCTCCTGCCCTGAAAAATGCCTAAAGATTCTCCTGGTTGGCTCCTGCTCATATTATTAGGTCATATAAGCATTCTTAGGTAAATGCATATAAGCATTCTTAGGTAAAGGTAAAGGGACCCCTGACCGTTAGGTCCAGTCAGACACGACTCTGGGGTTGCAGTGCTCATCTGGCTGAGGGAGCCGGTGTAGTCATGTGGCCAGCATGACTAAGCCGCTTCTGGCAAACCAGAGCAGTGCACAGAAACGCCGTTTACCTTCCCGCCGGAGTGGTACCTATTTATCTACTTACACTTTGACATGCTTTCGAACTGCTAGGTTGCCAGGAGCAGGGACTGAGCAACGGGAGCTCACCCCATCGTGGGGATTCGAACCGCCGACCTTCTGATCGGCAAGCCCTAGGCTCTGTGGTTTAACCCACAGCGCCACCCGCGTCCCATAAACATTCTTATAGCTATGCAAATTGCAGTGCATTAGACTTTACATTTGTGTGTATTTCAGATTTAACGAGATGCATATATATATTGATGTAAAGTGTATATGTGTTTGTGTGGATAAAGAAATTAAATAAGAATTAGTTGCATCCCCAAAGGCACTTCCTTGAAGGAGATTTGCTTCCAATAAAATGCTTTTCAGATTGCTCTGTTGAACTGGTAAGGATAAGATACATACAGATGTACATCTCTTAATCAATATTTCATTGAGGTAGATAAATCTCAATTTATCCAAAGGGATTCCTCATTAGATTGATTCCCAATACTCAGAAAACATATCCTGCCTCATTGCTAATTCATCAAATTGTGATCTCTTGAGGCCTGAGGGTAAGAGGAGCTTGATATAGTGCATCTTAGCTAGATATCCTCTCTCTTTTATGCCAAGTGAAATAAACTATTCTTTGCGAGGTGATCATTTCTGGAATCACTTGCTGTTTAAAAATTGAAGGCTTCATCTTATAAACTGTTCTTGTCCAACAACCTATCAGCAAAGTTACGTTTTGCCAGGAAGTCTAATGATGCCGTGTTTTGTGCCCATTTTTCCTGTCAGAAATTGGCTCGACCTAGCAGATGCACCCTGTGTTCAGATGCAGAAAGTGTTGTGTTGTTAGATTGTTAAGAACGTGTGCCTTATGCTGCCCTTTGACTCCTGCTATGGTCAAATCTGTACATCTGACAGACTTAGTACATCATGTCAGCTGGTTGTCTGGAGGAAGACTGTCCAAGGTGTGTCAGCCAGCAGTCAGGCCACAATCAGCAGCTTTGTAGAACCAGGTGGAATCCTATTTGTCCCTTGTATCAACACATCCCTTATGTATTGGTAGCTGCAACATACAACCTTTATCACTGTATTGGTGGTACTGCACTGCAGAGAGCTGGGCGGCTTCTACATTGTATGGCTCTGGTGTGGCAAAGAGTAAGTGAAAGGGCTGTGGCCCAGTGGCAGAGCATCACATGCAAAAGTGTCCATGTTCAATCTCCAGCCTTTTCCATGTCTGGCTGGGAAACCCTGGAAAGTTGCTTTGATTCGGTAGACCATACTGAGGTAGATTGACCATTGGTCTGACTTAGCCCAAGGCAGTTTCCTATATAGATAAGCTACTTGGGTTATCCTGCCATAGTCCCTAGTTTGAGACTCCCACTGTCTTTACACAGTGGGCCAAAGTGCTCTGTTTTTGCTCTACCAGAACACAGTAAGAGCTGAGGGCAGCCATGGATTTAAGGATACAGAAGGAATGCTGCCAAGATTAAACCAGCCATCTTCAGCCTTGGGTCCCCAGATGTTTTTCGACCAAGGCCACGGCGTCCCTGAACATTGGCAATGCTGACTGGGGGTGGTGGAAGTCTAACTACATCCTGAAGAACCCTTCGTTAAACAAGTGTATTCTGCCCATATTTCATGTTTAGGTTTGCCAGTCAACAAGAAAGAAAACAATCCAGATAGTTTATTTTACCCAAAAAAATTTTTAAGTGTGGTAAAGCTTTGAGTAGAACGCAGCGGCATAATTTTCACATCATCTTTGTGCTTGAATTGTGTGCAACCCATACATGTGTAGCAAGGAGTCAGGCTGTTGCTGTAGGCTGCAAAATATTTGCTTTTATATTCAGGTTGGGCCATGGCATAGCGGACGCAGTTGGGGAAAGCAACTTCACAGATTGTTCTTCTGCCCATTTCCGTACAAAGCTTCTTCATTTCACCTGAGTGCAAACCTGGGTACCTCTGTTACCTCTGCCAGGGCCAGCCACAGTTGAAAACAGAAGTTGATTTAATGCCAGCATGGTGGTCTCCAGAGGTTGCTGACCTACAATTTCCACCATGCCTGCCCATTGGCCATTACTGGCTGGGGCTGCTAGGTGTATCAGTCCATAACTTCCAGTTGGCACCTTATTGGCTACCTCTCCTTTATGGTTCATTGCTGTCTTTCTGTAGCTCTGCCCTGCGTTCCCACCCCACCCCACAATCAGAATTTGTGAATTTAAGAAAATGGTGACTCCATTCCTCTTGATTCTGTTAACTATCCTCTATCTATTTATCTCATGTGCTAGGCCGAAAGAAGATCCCACTTTCTGCTAAGTAAACCAGTCTGATGAATAAGGCTTGTAGCTTGCTCCAAAGAGGCATATTACAGGACCCCTCTGAGAAAATTACACGCCAGCTCTGACTGAAATGTCATATGAGTCATTGATGAATGGGGCCTTTAGTGTGCAGTTGATGGCAATCAGACTGTCTTTCTGACAGCCCATAAGTAAATCATAAGTCAGCTTGGAAACTTTTTTTTTTTTTAATGTGCCCTTCAGTTATGGGCAGCTGTAAAGAGTAAAGGGCAACAGCATAATTATAGGCTTTCAAGGAATATAGAATGGGACAGGGAGGGGGAATCTTCATCTCCAGATTTAGAAGCTTAACATTGAACCTCTACCTCCAGAATGGCATGCAAATTATCATTTCCTGTAGGATATTATTGTAAATAACGGTAAGTGGTCAGCAAAAAGAGGAAGGGAGGGTGTTTTTTTTAGGGGGGAGCTAGGGCTTTGATTGAAGCTGAAGAGGCTATCTTTCCATCTCAAATAGATGCTGAAGTGCTGATCAGCATACACAACTGTAAAGGAGACAATACTTGAGCTATAAGTGCAGCTTTGTACAAACACACAAAGGCTATTTCCTTCCTCTCCGCAACTCCTCCCCTGAGCTTTGTGACTGAATGGATTAATGTGAGGTGTGTGTCCTGTATGTGTGTGTAAAGTAATTAAGAACGAGGTGTTTGCAATAATGAGACACATGGGGTGGACCATTTTTTTCTGGCTGGTATTCAAAATGCTGCTTAAGGTCAAGTAAAGGGACTTGTACTATCCATGGTGTGTTTCAGTCCGTCCCCCCATTAAACGCTTGAGCTGCTCCTCCATAGCATATAGCAGGGATGGAGTACTCTTTCTTGAAGCCCAAGGACTATGCTCCCTTGGAATGGGGTGCATTCCAGGGGAAGGGAAGGCCATAGGCAAAAATGGATAAAGCAACAGATGTGATACTCATCTATGAACAATAAGCTACATTTCAACCACTTAAAAGGTCAGAGGCTTGTAGACACACATCTATGTTCCAGGGCACAGTGCAGGTACCCAAGGAGGCCAAGGAACAGGACTGGGGTGGGGCCTGAAGAGAAGAGGTGAAGCCTGGGAGAGTATCAAGGACCAGACAGAGAAGCTTGGACGGTTGCATTTGTCCATGTATGTGTGAGGTTCTGTGCCTGCCTTGCAGGAGAACTGCTGCATCTATCTTTCTGAAAATTGGCAGGCTTAATCCACTCTTTGCTTGCTAATTTCAGCCACTTACTTTAAAAGGAAATAATGTTATAGTTGTGTTCAGATTGCCCATTATAGTCAGTGTGGGAAGGAACAGAGCTTCAGATTTAACAGATTGGATTTCAGTCCAAATAATGAATGACACAGGGTCTGAAAGAGTTCAGACTGCTTTCAGACACTACAGGTGAATCTTGTGATCATTGCATTCCCTGACCATTGCGTGTGACTTTACACTTGCTTGCACTTGATCTTATTTGGCATTTTAATGTTTCCCAAATTTGAAGAAATTCCTTTGGAGCTCTTCACTGCCCATTTTTGCTGTCATCCACAAACTTGACCACTTCACTACTCACCCACTTCACTGGGGCACCCATTGATTACAGTCCTCCATTATGAGAACTATCAATTTTTTCTTACTCTTTCTACTTCTTGTTTTTTATCCATAATACCACTCCACTCAACCTATGACTACTGAGTGTACTCAGGGATTTTGGTGAGGACGTGTGTCAGAATCGAAGATAGTTTTGATAAGGGTAGTAAAAAAGTCAAAATCTGCACAAGGGGAGGGAAATCCCTACCTAGTATTGCCTATAGTGAAATCTGGGGAAAATCTGGAAACCCCTAGTCTGTCAAAACATTCAAGAATAATTTATCGGAGGAAATATTCCTCCTTTCCCACATGCCTACCTAATTACATGTCAGGAATATTATCAGTAGTCCAATATTATTCTCCATAAATCTTCCATACTTTATCAACATTTGTGTCAACTGATCTGGGCCAAATATTTAGTGAAGATAGGTTGGTATATATTTTTGCATATGACTCTATGTATATAATTTTATCTTTCTTCCATACCATGGATGGGAGAGCATCATCTGCTGCATCTGAGGGCAGCAGGCTAGCTTCAGAGGTACAGGGCAGGCTTTGTGAGCATCCACTGCCCCTCACTGCTCCCCTTCACACAATCTTCTGCCTGAGTCAGCCACTTCACTCTGACTAATGCAAGAGCTGGCCCTGCGTGCACGTACAAGTTATATTCTAGAGGACAGTTTAGATAGTTAAAGGGACTATAAAGATGCATCTCTCTTCCTTTCCCCTGCTTTGTGCATGTTCTATTTTTCTTCCAGTGCCTTTCAACTCTTTCAAAGTAATGTGGGCCGGAGGCCGTTAAGTTTGTTGTGGATGGAGCAACTACAAACAAACAGTGTGCTGAGGCAGCAAACTGTTCAGTTTTGTGTGAGGTGCGCAGTGATAGATAGCAAGAATTAGCCTGCTAAGTGTCGCCTACTGACAGCATTCAGAATGGCAGGGCCTGGAAAAACACCTGAGGCCTTCTTGTGCATCTCCCGCTGTGCTCAGTGCAAGAGGACTGATAAGAACGAATTTAGTAATTACTGCTGCAGGTATCTTATTAAAGCGAGAGACTCACTTTCAACCTAATTGCTCAGACTGTAGGGTTTTTTACATGCAGAATGTGGGTCTTTCAGAGCAAACACCACTGTGATGTAGCTTAGTTCCCACTTAAAAGGCTACTTATGCTTGCTATAATTGGCTGGGATTAGCTACATCACCCATTCCAAATGATTTTTTTTTAAAAAAAAAAAATCTGCTTTGCTTAATCATTAAGTACAAGTCACTTTAAACAGTTGCTATAGCGCTTCCTCTAATAGCAACCTCTGGAGGTGTGTGCCAACAAGTACAGCTCAAATGGGACTCTTCGGAAGCTGGGACAGGGTGGAACCCTGAGGCTTGGACAAGTATAATTTAAAAACAAAGGTGAAGAGGCAACCATCCCCAATCAATTTAATGAGGACTGAGCATGCTCAGTGGCTGCCAGAAGAAGGAAAACAGAAAGCTGCCGGTGGGGGAGGCATGAGATGCCCTGATCCAACCCCTTAGAGTTTGTACATTCTGATGGAGATCAGACCCATTCCAGAGCTACTATTCCCAGAGTTCCCTGTGAAGAGGGATTGACTACTAAACGGCTCTGGGAATTGTAGCCCTGTGAGGGGCTACGCTCAGCACCCTTAACAAATGACAGTTCCCATAATTCTTTGGGGATTTTAAAGTGGTATCATAGTGTTTTAAATGTACGGTGTGGATGTGACCTTAGAATATAATGTTTCGCTGCAGGCTCCATGACATTTATAACCTCTATTCGAAAGGTTTGTGGGTGGAAATTATAAACAGATCTACTAGTCAGCTAAAGTTATTTAAAGCTGGCAGCAAGTCCCTTTGAACATAAGGGAGTCCTTTCTGACTAAGCATCCATAGGGTGGTGCTATAGTTCTTTTTATGCCAGTGAACTCATTCTCTTTACTCCATAGGCAGTGTGTGTCATCATCATCATCATTTATAATAATTTATTATTTATACCCCACCCATCTGGCTGGGCTCCCCCAGCCACTCTGGGTGGCTTCCAACAAAATATTAAAATACAGTAATGCATCAAACATTAAAAGCTTCCCTAAACAGGGCTGCCTTCAGATGTCTTCTAAAAGTCTGGTAGTTGTTCTTTTAGACATCTGGTGGGAGGGTGTTCCACAGGGTGGGTTCCACTACCGAGAAGGCCCTCTGCCTGGTTCCCTGTAACTTGGCTTCTTGCAGAGAGGGAACTGCCAGAAGGCCTTTGGCACTGGACCTCAGTGTCTGGGTAGAATGATGGGGATGGAGATGCTCCTTCAGATATACTGGACCGAGGCCATTTAGGGCTTTAAAGGTCAGCACCAACACTGTGAATTGTGCTCGGAAACGTACTGGGAGCCAATGTAGGTCTTTCAACACCGGTGTTATGTGGTTATGTGGCGGGGGTCACTCCCAGTCACCAGTCCAGCTGTCACATTCTGGATTAGTTGTAGTTTCCGGGTCACCTTCAAAGATAGCCCCACATAGAGCGCATTGCAGTAGTCCAAGTGAGAGATAACCAGAGCATGCACCACTCTGGCGAGGCAGTCCACGGGCAGATAGGGTCTCAGCCTGCATACCAGATGGAGCTAGTAAACAGCTGCTCTGGACACAGAATTGACCTGCGCCTCCATGGAGAGCTAAAATGACTCCCAGGCTGCTCACCTGGTCCTTCAGGGGCACAGTTACCCCATTCATTACTAGGGAGTCCTCCACACCCACCCACCTCCTGTCCCCCCAAAACAGTACTTCTGTCTTGTCAGGATTCAGCCTCAATCTGTTAGCCGCCGTCCATCCTCCAACCGCCTTCAGACACTCACAAAGGACCTTCACCACCTTCTCTGGTTCCAATTTGAAAGAGAGGTAGAGCTGGGTACATGGTTACACCTTCACTCAGCCTTCCTCAGCCTGGTGTGTTTCAAACGTTGTGGGTTTATAAATGCCATGATCTGTAACCTTTAGCCATGCCAGCTGGGGCTGATGGGAGTTCTAGCCCAACCCCATCAGACTGGGGAAAGTGGCCTTAGCTTTTGCTTTTTTCTCTCTGCATTGTGCCAAACTAAGATCAGGTTGATATGGGTTGATGTATCAGCAATGTTTTCATATAGACATCCTGCCTCTGTGCTGTGAAATGGACTGGGTGACCTTCTGGCTCTCAGTCTACACCTATCTATCTGCAGGAGCAATGATCTTTTTAAAAAAGAACACTAGATTTCTTAATAGGAAAAGAACTGGAATAAATTGGGCTGTTTATTCTCCATGAATATAGTGCCCATGCTCACTTAATTGGCATAATGGGCAGGTAGACTATTGTCATACCAGATGCAGCAACCTCCTACATCATTCTTAACAGTGACTTCAAACTAATAAACCAAATCATTAAACAGGAGGATCCAGAGGTGGAAACATCTCTTTCCAGTTCTTTTTATTCTCTCTTCCACAATCCCCTGCTGTGATATGATTCTTTTTAGATGAGGCTCACAGGTTTTTGGAAGTTTCGCTAATGTTTTTTCTCTCCCCCCCCTTTTTTTTATCTTTGAACATTGATATTTTAGTAGCAAACCTCTTTTTCTTAATAAACCACATTACCTTTCCTTCGGAGCTAAAGCATAAGTAAGATTCTGTGCTCACTTTCCTCAAAGAGCATCATAAGAAGTTCTTTGTGCTTTCAAACTGTGAATACACCAGCCCTAACAAATTTGCCACACACTTTGATTTGTGGTAAATGTCAGAAATAATCCACAGAAAGGTTAAGATCAAATGAGTGTATTCATTAACTCAGTTTTATATAGACATTTCTGGATACAGGAAATAGAATATCTGCAGCACTCTATAACACAGAAAATGAATTATTGGAGTTTGTGGATGGTCTTGTTTTCTTGCAGAAAGTGGTACTTGATGTACTTTCATGTCTACAAGGGGAGAAAAGAAAATGAAGCTTACATACACATACATGGATAATACTCATAATCCATAACTTGCTTGCTTTATTCATGTTATAATTTTGCAGTGTCTACTGTCTTCCCATGGAGAAACATTTGCTTTAGCCCCATATTGATCCCATGCCAAAGTGACAAATCCCTCAAGCAACCCTGAATGCACATATTGGATAACTGCAGGATACTGTTAATTGAGTAACAAGCTCCTAGTACTAGTTTGCACTGTTGTTTCCAGTAGCCTTTAAGATTCTATTGCCCTGCATGTTATGATGTATGATGGGGGAACTTATACTACGTTTCTCATAAAACTGTATTTAGATTTTCATCATATGAAATTTGATGCAGCCCTTGAAGAGTAGTGTGAATGTGTTTATGAAAAGTACATTTCCCCTCACTCCAACCTGAATTTTGAAATGTACATAAAAGATCTATTTTGGTGGGCTTAGAACAAATTCTTATTGTGCCTCAATTACACACCTCTGTAGCATTTTAATGTTAGTTCTGTAAGTACTTCCAGAGTGAATAGCTCAGCATAAAGTTTAAGGGGCTATTAAGTTGATTGAAATTCTATTGTTTGCACCTGGAAGCCGTGTTTTTGCACATTGTTAGTTATAAAGTATTAATAAAAAAAGATAGTTTATTAGGTAATAATGAGGAAAATAGAAAGCATTTTAAAGGTAGCTTTAGTTTTGCTGGCAAATTCTCTGAAGAAGGGCATCAGAGAAAATAATTCTTGAAGATCCTATCTGCATTCTGTTGACCAGCAGAATGTGCTTTGATGCACTCTCTGCACCATCTTTGACTGCTATCCATTGATCATAAAGGCAAGTGTGGTCTAGTGGTTAGAGTGTTGGTCTAGGACCTGGAAGATCAGGATTCAAATCCCAACTCAGCTGCGAAACTCCCTGGGTGAATTTGCACCTGTCGCTTTTCCTCAGCCTAATCTACCTTGCAGGGTCGCTGAGAGGTTTAAATGGAGATGGGGAGAATCTTCAATGTATTATATGAAAGATGAGCTATAAATGTAATAATAAATAAAATAGTGGCAATATTTATAATATGGAATTATTCATTAATGATGGGAGTAAGTCAGAATTTGTGTGTCATGAACTGGCAGGACAACAGGGAGGAGGAAGAGGATCTTGGTGAGGGGTGTAGCCAGGCCTGGACACACTGAGGCAAGCAGAGGATGATGAGGGAAGAGAGGTTGGTGTAGGAAGTACTCACGGAGTGACGGCAGATGGCAAAGAGATGGAGGTCAGTGCACAGGAACCTGAGCAGCAGGACCCACCACCAGAGCCAGAGGGGGCCCCGTCTGCCTGAACAGGAGGCTGAGGCAGGCAAGGGCCCAGAGCCCAGCTCCTTAGTTGGCCAGGTGGGGCTCGCTAGCTCTGGGAGAAGGTTGTGATTCCTCAGCTGGAGCAGGTGAGGGTCACATGCCTCATCAAGCCCAGATGCTGCAATCAGCATGCAAAGCACAGGTGCTCTGTCTGCTCAGCTGCCCATGTTGAAGGACCTCAGCTTGGATGCTGCAGGATCTCTGCAGAACTGTGCTTCGGTTTGGACTTTGGACACATGGATTGACCCTGGACTGGGACCTTGACATACTGAATTGCTGCCAGGTAGGCCAGGGGTTCAGGATATTGTGTAGTGATTTGTGTAAAAGATGGGAGCTTTTTATGTAAATAGTTTCATTTATCCCTGGAGTTTTACTTTGCAGTTACAGCTTTCAAGCATTCAGTCAGGTTTCTTGTACTTGTCATGAAACGAAGAAAGGCAAACTAAAAAATGGCCAAGGTTGTTGTGGCTGCAAGATAGTATCAGGTAAACAGCTACACTCCCTATAGCTCAGGTCAAGTTGGCCTGAGGTGCAATTCAATTAGGATAGTTGACTTGTTGCAGATATTAGGGATGAGTAGATTTTCCTCATTCTGTTTCTTGTTCATTTTGTGAGTTCTCTCTGCTATGTATTTTGAATCTCCCAAATTCTGGTTAAAATATAATGATGGAATAAGAGCAACCTTCACCACAACATTCAGATCCTTCATTTCCTTTCTATCTCCTCTTCATGTTAATGATTTCCATTGATAAAGCACTGCAAAACTACAGCTTTGATATGATTGTATGCACAAGGTTCTTTTTGTGCTGTGTTTTACTGATGGAAGTATGCATTAGTAAAACACGATACAAAAAGAACCTTGATTTACCAGACATGCAGTCAAATAATAATTCCCCAGTGTTTTGTCAGTGTATACCTGCAAGCCAGTAATTTGCAGAAAGGAGGAAGATATGGATGTAGAAATAGAAGGCTATAGAAACATGTGAATACCTAGTGTTATCTGCAGAAACAAAAAGACAAGACAGTTGAGGACACCTGTTGCATTTTGGAAACAAAACCAGGTGATTCAGAACTCCAAAAACCAAGTAAAAGTTTAGAAGAGCAGAATTTTGGGAGTATCTCTTTATTCATTGCAGCTGGGCTTGGTGAATGATACTCACAAATGTGCTGCCCAGGTTGGTAGAGATTCGGTTTCTTAGATTTGCTGTACATTTCTTTGAATAATAGTTAAAATTACTCAGGAATAATCAGTAAGTTGTAGAGAGGAGAGAGAACTTCCAGGTACTGCATCACATGAAAAGGCCGTGTCCCTAATGAATTCTGTATATTCTGAGCACCGTTCTACATGCCTATGGTTATTTCTGTCAAATTACTTCATTGTTTGTACATCATCTGTTGGTTTGTGTTTGTTTTTAGGAATTGGTTAATCATATAGTGGCCTGTTATTTTGCAGAAGTTCAGTGCTCCTTCCTGTCTAATGGGAAGGGATTTGACAAATTCTGCTGTGGCATATTAGGTAGTATGCTAATTGATGCATATAAAATCTGTAATTGCAGTGCACTTTTGGAAACTGATGAGTTTAAAAATAGATACAGCTTCTTTCACAGTACACCTTTACAATAGCAACATCTGAGGACTACAATAACACAACCTCACATCCTTTATGCTTTTAATCAAATTCTGCCTTTTGATAAATGACCATAGTATGTGAGAGGCACTTGGTTCTCCCATCTCATGAAATGTTCCAATATGTACAGCTGATGCTTCAATGAAGCAGGATGGCGCACATAATTGCTCAGACACAATTTTGTATATTCTCTCGTCGAGCTTGTTCTAAGCAGGCTTTACTCTTCTGCGCCAGCAATGTGAACATGAATGCAGATGGATATTTTTCTTTTTATTTATTTCTATGCCACCCTTCATCTGAGGTATGCAGGGTGGTTTACAATATAAAAACACAAAAATACATACCACAGGAACAAACCAAAACAATACCCCCCCATGCACACACAGTTTAAAATGCCATCAATTGGTTAATTAGCAAAAGGCCTGCGTATTTTTGCCTGGTGTCTGAGACTGAAGTTACTGATCTTCTGTGGGTACTTGTTGTCAGGGTTCACCAAACTCAGAGGCCACCGTTGTGTCATTTTACTGTGTGGCGTTATCCATGAATATAGCAAAAGAAGTGTCTTAGCCAAGTTTCTGATACATATGTCTATGATCATAAATCAAAAGGACTTGGGCATCTAGGATCAATGCTAGCTGTAAGATAGCTGGCAAGAGCCTGAGCATCAAAGAAGGAATGAAGGCAAAGTAAGAAATCAATAGCTCATGGTCTGCTCCTTACATTTACTTGATAAGTCACTGTTTTTCAAGAGCTACTGGGTCTAGACCTGGAAGCCAACCTCTCTCTATGCAGAACTGCCCTGTATGATGAGTTCCCAAGGCTATGGATTGAAGCATTTTCCAAGGGTAGTGAAGGGTTTCCAAGTGAATGACTCTGTCCACCAAGATTAGCTCACCTTACTAGAAAAGCTTCCTGTTCAGGCTGGGACTTTCCTTGGGATTTTTCTTTGGTTCTGAGTACTAGCTGATTTGACTTTCTCAGATAAGTCCCATCTCTTACCCCAGTGCTCAGATTTCAAGCGAATGGAGGGGTGGGGAGAGGCATGGTTTCGCTACAATGGGGAAAGATGGGACTTTTGGGTTTCATTAAGGACCCCTTACTTTTTTCCAGTAATTTGAGCTTTGTGCTACTCTTGACTCCCACTCAACAGCTGAACTCAGCTTGTACACTGATAGTGACACACATCTTATTTTAACATGCATATGAATGTGGCAAAAGTGTGATTCTGCCAAGCATGTAAGGGTCTTCTGAAGACCAGAAGTTGATAAATAAAAACCTTGGCATGCACATCACTCCAGATAAAAGATTCTGGGATGCTCAAGAAAACCCAGTTGTTGTGAAATATAACAAAGTCTGTCTCTTATTTTGATGCTTTCAAAAAACTGCCGAGTATGATAATGTTGAGCTTCCAGATGGAGACATTTTCCAGGTCAGTGATTTGAACTATCACTTCTGATGGACTAAGCACATCTACAGAACAAAATTGTGATTGATGGGAGGCTATCATTTTTATATATATGGTTAACTTATTTTTTTACCCCCTCCCTCCAAAGCAACTGATTTTCTTTTCACAAATTCACATGTATCTTGAACATTTTTTCCCAGTGCCTCCACTTGTGCTACTTGCCAGTGATTCCTTTTCTTCCAACATACTGATTATAGCCAATCATGAGTCCTCAAGATTGCCATTATGGTAGCTGTTGGCTGAGAAGCAAAAAGCCCATCGTTAAAGCGCAAATCCACAGTTCATAAACTTAGCCATATTCTGCCTCGGGGAAAGAGGAAATCTAGCCCAAGCCTCTCAGTCTTAAATACCATTAAGTGTGCCTTCAGAACTGATGCATCTGTTTAACTATGTACCAGATACACTTTCAGAATTAAAGTCATCCTTTGACATTTTTACCTGATATCACTTTCCATTTGAAAATGGAAAAACCTTCCACTTTGCAATCGGAAGTTCTGCCAATACTAATGCTTTCAGAAATATATACAACCCAGTTGGCTCATTCATCTTTGTGGAATGGGAGAGGAAGCTGGCCCCTCGATTTCCCATAGGTGAATAGAGCAAGGCTGGCTCTACCATGTAGCAGAGTGAGGGAGCTGCTTCAGGCAACATATGCTGATGGAGGAGGTGGGAGGGGAGTTGCAACAAGATGTTTGAAGACAGAGCTGTGTAACATACACCTACGCCAGACAGCTGGTCTCAGGGGTAGTGGAGAATACTGTCCCAGCATGGAAGTAAGATTCAACTTCTGTACATGGAATGGAGCCATACTAAGGCTGACTAGAAGGTGTGAAGTTTGGATTAGGGGAAGCCACCCCTCTTTCTATATAATGTTTGCTGCCACTGCCAAATTACCCCTTAAAAGTCCCCAAAATGCACTACACATGAATGTGACTGAGGCAGAATGGAAGGGGCGATTTCATCATCCTTAGCCTTCTTAGCCAGTTCTCAGGGATTCTGGGAATTGCAGTCCAGTGAAACTGGGGACCCCGGGCTTGAAGAACCCTGATTTGTGCCGTACCTTTATACTTTGTTCAGATTTGGGCAAAAACATTGATTTTTCAGGACAAAGCCAATGACTATCTTGCTTCCCCTTTCGTTAAGAACCTATTTTTTCAGTTATTTCAGCCCCCAAGGCTGAAATTTTTTAAAAGTACAGAATAATTTGTGTCATTGCTAATTAGAACACCTGATGTTAAAATCTGGAGCAAAAACAAATTAATCCATAGCAGCAGGGTTTTGATCCAATGTCTGGTGAAATAGACTGGTCTTTGCTATTTGCCCAGTGAGAGAGAGGTGGGGAGAGGGAGAGGCATCTAGGCATCCAAAACAAAGATGTTCCAATTTTTGGTGTCCCCAGGAGGAAAACATTGTCCCATGTCCTAGTCAGTTCAACCTCTGAAGGTAAAGGGCAAAACTTTATAAGCCATGCCAAATCCACATTGATTTGTGAATGCTAAAATGTCTGTTCCGGACTCAGTTGATTATGAAGCCAAGTATGTACAGGGACCTGTCCAAGTGAGGATCCTTGTTCTGTAAAATGATCCTAAAGGGATCCTAGATCCCATATGCTATGTCAGTTCACCATCATAAAACATGAAGGGCACTTCAGGCAGTTAGGCCATCAAGGAGAAGGTTAGGACTGGAGATGAATTCACAGAGCTTGCAAATATAATCATTTGCTGTAGCTAATGGATGTTTCTTTAAAAGTGTATATTTTAAGTTACAGATGAGGGAGTTGGGAAGAAACGGTGTAGGCCTGATGTTCTAGAATCCTGTGAATATGAAGGGATAAAGAGTCTTTGGAGAGCCATCAGGCATGGGGTGGGTTCCCTGCCCTTGACTGTTAGAAGCACTGTGCTCCTTCAGTTTCTGGTGTCTGAAAAGTTTATCAGACATTACTATTAAAGCATAAGACATAAAATACGGCAATTCTCCGGTGAGGAGAAAAACCTAGGATCAGAACACTCTGTATGTCATTATACACTACATCTCTTGGTGTAGATTATGCCATAGCCTGAAATGCATCACTGGGACATGACAGTTGCCAGGTGTTCCTTTCCCGTTTGTTTTCAGACAAAGAAGGCCTATGAGGGACTATCTTAAATGAAGCAAAACTGATTCTGCCAGGATAAAAATTCCTGTTTAGAAAAGTAAATCCCAGCTGTTGTGTAGGTAAACTGGCTCAGTGCAGATTTAATGTGAAGCTGCTGAAATAACTAAAAGAAGCAACCACCAAAGCAGGTGTGTGGCCTTTAATACTAGTGAGAATCTTGTAAAGTTCTAAAAATGAAGTCAATTTCTGATTATAATAAGCAGGAAGTGGAGATATCTGGAAATAGTTGGAGGAGCCACAACCAGGGCCGGATCTAGGTTTGATGAGGCCCTAAGCTACTGAAGGTAATTGGTCCCTTTATATGTCCAGCTGTCCTTTGTCAACAACAAATTGTCGCTGTTTTTTGTGTTGAATATCTGCTCATACCCTTATTCTATGCTGCCTGATCATCAGTCTACAAGCACTCTTTAATATTAGATAACAGGTACAACAGCTTGACCTACATTCAACTGTGCTGCACTGCAGTCTGCAGCTACATGCTGTCATGCAACCAGTCCATGCAGAATGTAGGCACCCTATATAGAGAAATGAGCAAACCAGTTTAGGGAGCAGGCGGGACCCATTACTTACATCATACACAACACAAAACCAGTTTTTTTCCCTTTAAATTTTTTTGGGGGCCCCCAAGAGAGTGCTCCCCTAAGCTATAGCTTGTTTATCTTATATGTAAATCCGGCACTGGTCACAACTCTGTGAATAGCAAGATGCAGGTTCCAGGTTCTATCCACAGCATCCTCACTGCGAGGGGTCTTGGAAAAGAGCCCAGTCTGATAGCCTGGAGACCTGTTGTCAGTCAAAGTAGAAAAGAGTACATGGAGCAATGTCTTTGATTAAGGGACCCTCCAGATACCATTCTTATTGTGCATTCATGATGATTTGTGCACATGATTGTATTGGTACGTGTATTTCAGCTCGTTGCTGAAATCCTGTAAGTTTTTATACCACAAATGTTCTGGGAGCACTTTTGTTGTGCTTTAACACAAGAGTCCCCCCTGCCCTCTGTAATTAAGGATTTTAATTGGGCTAATTGGTTTTCTCATGCTACTTCACTTATATCTATTGTTGTGATTTGATGGTTTTACTGGCCTGAGCATTGATGCTACTGGCTATTCTTATTTATCAATTCTATTGTTACGGCATTGTTCTGGTTTTAAAATTATTACTGATTAAGTATCGTGACATACTGATGCAAGTTATCTTGGAAGAGTTTGAGCCTGAAAGATGATCCATGCATTGTTTAAATAAATAAATAAATAAATAAATGTGTCAAATATAAACAAGAGCAAGAAAAATAGCATGGCAGAATCAATCCAGTGAAAATATAGTTTCTTCATTTTTCGGAAGAAGCAAGCCCTGTTAAAATGGATGATATCACTCCCAGTGGGTGTGTTTCTGGGACAGGTATACTAACTGAGCTTTGATATATATAAGATCCAGTAACACAATCTGAGCTGGTTAAATATTGGAGTCCATGTTTTCTCCTCCATTGCTGCCCACGGGCAAAATTCAGCTCCTGACCTCTCCTGAACTGCTCTCGCATGTCTCATGCTTTTCCTGTGTTTGAAAGCAAACTTGTCCTAAGGCCAGAAGCATTTCTAGTTTTAGCATTCTTCATACTTCTATGTTTATTGCTACTTACTTTGAGAAAGATATTTCTAAGAATTCTTTTTCAAACGAAACTGCGCCAAGCTTCATATAAAGGCAGCCGATGTAATTATTTCTAAGCATATTTCTTTTTATTATTAAACAAAAAGATGCTATTTATTCATAGATTTTTAGGGAACCTCTGTTTTGAGAGAAGTCAGTTTGGGTTGAGAAAGTGTGAATAAATATTTGTGTCACTGAGTATGGATGGATTTGTGCATCTGCAGCAGTATCAACCAATTCCAAAAATATTTGAAGGTGGTGCCATTTTCTTACCACTGACTCGATTGGCCTTACCTTCCAATGGGTAATTAATTAATTGAGGAGGAACAAGTCAGGTCCTGTGTTGCTGCAGGATCATGACCATGGGAAAGAAAACACTGCCTCGCTGGGACATAGGTAGCAGTTTGGGTGATCCAGGAGCTGTGGGACCAGCCAGTTTTCATAGCCAAAGAATAAGTCAACTCTGGAAGACAAACCAAGAGGTAATAGTGAAGAGCCAGCCAAGAATCAGGACTCAAGATGAAGTCAGGATGAAAGGTCAAACTAGGAGGCAGAACCAAATAATAATGATGCGGGAACATCCCAGGGCTCAGATGCCCAACCAACTGCCCTTCCATGAACCTTCCTGTCCAGGGAAATACAGTAACTGAGTGGAGTCAGACTAGGATCTGAAGGTTCTTTGTGGAGAATCTGCCACCTGCGATTCAGTGGTTCATCACATGGGGCAATGCACATGGGCCCACAGTTCCTGAAACTGGGCATGGCCAAAAACAGGCTAACACCCATCAGGAAATGAAAGCAAATAAAAGATGGAAGCAAAGGACAGAGGGTAGGTGTCCAGGTATGCAATAAGTTAAACAGTTAACTCATTAGGAAGGCAGAGGACTCAGCTATACAGCTGCAAATAATACATTTTAAGTGTGTTTTTAGTGCAATATACAATATGACAAGTAGATAAATAGGTATTTCTGTGGTGGGAAGGTAAACAGCGTTTTGGTGCGCTCTGGTTTCTGTCACAGTGTCCCGTTGCACCAGAAGTGGTTTAGTCATGCTGGCCACATGACCCAGAAAGCTGTCTGCGGACAAACACCCGCTCCCTCGGCCTGAAAGTGAGATGAGCGTCGCAACCCCATAGTTGCCTTTGACTGGACTTAACTGTCCAGGGGTCCTTTACCTTTACCTTTTTTACAATGTGACACTAGATGGCAATGGTGTGCCTTGTGGAAAATTCAATGTATTTTTTAAAAACACTTCTTTAAAAATGCATTTTCAGAACTTTTTTTTAATATGTGTGTAGATTCCACCAGGTTCAGTACTAACTTAGGCCCTGCTGAGAAAGTAGATTCTGGGACTGAAGAGCATGATCAAGCAATGGGTTTTAAGTTCATGCCATTTGTTTCTGAGTCTCATGACCAACTAAGTCAGCTTGGACATGGCCAAAAGGAAAATTATTAATTGTCTTACTTGGTAATGCTCCAGAAACTGAAGAGTTGGCATGCTGTATCTGGAGCTCCATCTTTCGGCCAGCTGTCCTAGCGGCATAAGTAGCTAGGACCGGGCTGCTGGGGCCATTAGTTTTAATCCCAGGATGTGTAACATTCAAGGATAACAACTGAGTTAGGCAACATCAACAAAATTTCAATGAATACTGTAGCACCCTGAATACCAACTAGTTTATTGATGCATATGCGATATGTTGCTAAGTTTTAGGGAGAGATTATTTCATGCATAGTGCATTGTGATTATAGTCTCTAGTTATATATGCCCACATGGAATCACAGGGCTTTTCTGAACCTAAGAGTTGCCTTTTCTTATAAAGACATGGGACTAGTCAATGCGTATATATATATATATATTATATATATATATGTATATGTATATAAAGTTTTGCTTTTCATATTCATGTCTTAAGGGGAGACGTCTCCTTTCAACTGGTTGCTTTTATTGCTCTCTTTATAGTAGAATAACATTATGTGAATTTCAGCTGTACATCATCTTACCATTGTTGAAAGGAATTGGTGGAAGCAGGGTTGGGTGGACTGTGCCCTGTTTTTTTTTGGAAACAGACCACCAGTATTGAACATGTTCTTGATTGCTTAAGATTGGCTGCCCTTAACAACGTCTTAAATAAAATGCACTGGTGAGATTTATAATTTCCCAATACCATCCCTCTTTAAATTTATTAGGACTATTACCATGAGATTATTAAAATACATTAGTGCATTCACTGAAATTGCAATCCTTTGTGGTAGTTTAAATACAATAAATGTTTCTAATTAACTAATGCTCAAATAGCATGTAAATTTTTCTTATATCTTCTATTTTATATTAAATGAATTGGTTGTCTTGTTAACTATCATTATAAAATATATATTAAGGGTTAACAGCTATATTCTGGCTGCCCATTTATTAGCTAATTTCACAGTCTGTGTGAGTAATTTAATTTATACTGCAGAAGGAAACTCCGATTTAGAAAACTCTACTGGTTCCCATGCTGCACAGTGCTGTCTAAAGGAATGTATAGACGGCAGCTCAGAGGAGCCCAGTTCATTTACACTCAAGTAGGTTTACATGCACAGACATTGCTGCATAGAAGTATGTGGGTTTGTTTGTTTTTCCAACCTGGCCTGCATTGGGTGTGCTATTTCCATTTTTGAGCAGCATAGTGGGAGATTGTGTATCCTGCACTTATCAGGATTGCAAGCAGAGAGCATGGGCCACTTGTAAATGCAAAGGCTTCCCAATGAATTTCAGTGGGGAGAAGGAAGACCAGGCTGAAGTCCCCACTCAGCCATGAAACTCGGTGTCTCTCAGTCTGATCCACCTCACATTTTCCACGTGGGAATAAAACTGGTATAAAAGTAAAGGGGAAGTAAACCATGCATCCAAACCTGAGAACATGGAGGAAAGTCGGATAGGAATATAAAAATTGATTATGGTGACGATGATGATAAAGAACAGTAATGCTCAGCTCCCTTCTCTTAAGCTGTCCTCATTCCATAATAAAACACCTGACTTGCGATATCTCTCTTCGGGAATCCCGTCTGCATGCACAAAGGGACGAGTGGGAATGCATGGGGTGAACCCTGCCCCCTTGACAACATACTACTCCTTGTAGTGATTGGTGTTAGTCTGAAGGGAGCTGCCTTCTTTATACATAGCATAGGAACCCTGGTCAATCAGGCAATGTACAAAATGGAATAAAAAAAGCCAAAAGACCCAGGAGCAAAACAGCAGTGGGGTGGGTGGAGAGGAAATAACAGAATCATATAATTGTAGAGTTGGAAGGGACCACAAGGATCCAACCCCCTGCAATGCAGGAATCTTTTGCCGACTGTGGAGCTTGAACCCGCAACCCTGAGATTAAGGGTCCCATGCTTTACTGACTGAGCTATCCCTCCAGTTTAAAAACAAAAGCACCTTCCTTACAGCCAGTGCACAGGACCACAGCGCCTGCCAGCTTTCTCGTCCTTAATCTCAGTGTTGCCGCTTGTGGAATTCAGTAGGGGAAAGGATAGGGATAACATTAGAATTGGTTGACTTTGCCTGCCATTGGCCCTGGCTCCACCTTTTGTCAGTCGTCCTGCCTACCCACCCATGTATTCCTGCTTGTACCTGAAGATGGTTAATGTGGAAAACGTAACCCTGAACACACCTTTGTTCTTTGTTAGCCCAATGTTTTGCCATGAAATGTTCAATTGAGAAGGAGCCACAGCATTGCATTCGCAAGAGTTCCAGGTTCAAATCTTGTCATCTTTGTAAGTTGTTGCTTCCTGCTTAAAGCACCCTAGCATTGCTACTCTCAGCTTACACTTGGGCCAGTGTTGACCCAGCACTGCCTTGTTCTTGCAAGTTCCTCAGCACAACACAATAATTTTGCAAATAAATAAATAAAACAATTTCAAGGTCAGCACTCCTTTCAGAAGCTTTATTCATTTATTTATTGCAGAATTCTTATGTAAGCTCATTTCGCAGTGAAGACTTGAGCTGAGTCCGTGGTTTGACTGTTTTACTGCTAAATACTAAAATTTTCTACCACGTCCAGCTTGCTTAGCATAATATTAAAAATTACAGATGAATATTACCAAGTTTCTGACATTTTTTGCAATGTATTTATTAAGGATGGTCGAAGAATAAAATGTGAGTTCTAATATGAACTGGTTGGACCTGAAGTTTCAGGACTAATGTATCGATCAAAAAGTAGTTGCCCACCAGCTTTCATGCTTTATGGATGTTCTGACACTATTCTCGACTGCAAAATACATCAAAGTATGTATCAAAACATTTGTTCTGAGAGAAAACACATATAGATGTGGATTTTGAAAGAAAATAGTTCACAGCCGCATATTTTGGGAGAGAATATATTTAAATACATATTTTAATGCAAATGTGAATGCAACATTTTAAAATCCTTAGATTAATGCAGAAACGGGACCAAATGGACTTGTGAATGACAGACTCGAAAAAGTCACATAGAATAAAATGTGCTTCAGCAGGTCAATTGCTCTTTTGCCCTCTTAGGCTGCCCCCCCCCCAATATTAGATTGCACATTCATGCCTGTGGTAAAATGCTCCCCACCTAAACTGGCTTCCCAAGGTTTATGTAGTAAGAAGAGTGACCTGCCCATCACAGAGGATTTATACAGTCACACAATTCTCATTGACTATTTTCCCTGCCTTTCTTTCCTAATGTCACTTACGGTTAGTACTGTAAGCATTAATCAGTTTGATCAGTAAATGAATCAACTAAAGCGTCATTTGATTATCCGAGGAAGCCAGTTTTAATTATCGGACCTGTGAGATAACAGCATCCTTGCTTATTTCTGAAGCCTTTATGTAAGTAAACTGCTGCTGCAGATGAAGAACAAACTACAAAAGATGGGCTTTCTTTCTAAGAAGCAGTCACATTTCATTATTAAACTACAAATGTCCTTGTTCTTTCCTCAGTGTCTCACAAGTGAACTTGTGTTGAGGATTTCATAATGCACACATCTCTTTAAACCTGGCTTAAATCAGTCAAAATATCTGTCAAGATACACAACTGGTTAACAGTTCTGCTTTTGTTAACCATAGTGTAAATTATTAAATCTCACTCTGTTTTTCCCCTCTCAGGTTTCTTACCACATATAAGAGATCAGCAGAATCTATTCCATAACATAATGAGCCTATGCATCATAAAGAAAAACTTTAATTAGGGCAGGTTGAACACAAATATTACCATTTTTAAAGCCAAATTCATTTCTGGGCTTGTCCACTTGCTGCAGATTCTGCAGTCAAAGATTAGAGGATTTTCTTTTACAGATCCATTATATCCCTCCCAAGATGCATGCAAGGGCCTAAGGTTACGTGCATAGTGTTAAAGGGAAATTATTATATCAGTGTTATGAAACCTTAATAGGATAAGGATGACAGGTTCACATTCAGGGATCAAAGGAGCTCCGTCTCTCAGCAAGTCAGTCTCCAAACCTGGAAGGCAAAGACAGAGAGGGGGAGAGATCAGACACACTTTTCTTTAAACAAAAGTTAATTCGCTTAGATCTTGGATAAATTTAGGTCAGAAAAATGTGTTCACTTTGGCGTTACTATTTGCTTACCCATTGCCAAGAGGTGTGCGATGGAAAGCTATCAATCACCCAGGCATAGAACAAGCAAAGCTTTTAAAAAAACAAACATTGAATATAATCCTTACCTCTTGGGATACAAGCTGGAAGTCTTACGTTTCTTCTTTTTTCAAACACTGCCCCCCCCCATGCTTTTCAAACTGCTAGTGTTGAGCTAGGATTGAGAATACACTCAGTGTTGTGCACACAGAATGGCAGGGCTGTTTAAATCAGGTGTGGGGACACTTTGACCCTCCAGATGTTGTTGAACTGCAACTTCCACCATCCCTGGCCATTGGGCATGCTGTGGGAATTGTTGTTGTTGTTTAGTCGTGTCCGATTCTTCGTGACCCCATGGACCAGAGTACGCCAGGCACTCCTGTCTTCCACTGCCTCCCACAGTTTGGTCAAACTCATGCTGGTAGCTTTGAGAACACTGTCCAACCATCTCGTCCTCTTCTCCTTGTGCCCTCCATCTTTCCCAACACCAGAGTCTTTTCCAGGGAGTCTTTTCTTCTCATGAGGTGGCCAAAGTATTGGAGCCTCAGCTTCAGGATCTGTTCTTCCAGTGAGCACTCAGGGCTGATTTCCTTCAGAATGGATAGGTTTGATCTTCTTGCAGTCCATGGGACTCTCAAGAGTCTCCTCCAGCACCATAATTCAAAAGCATCAATTCTTTGGCGATCCGCCTTCTTTATGGTCCAGCTGTGGGAATTACAGGTCAGCAAAGTTTGGAAGGCCAAAGATTCCCCACACCTGGTTTAAATTGTGAGAAGGCTTCATTTTTTTTATTTTGGTGTGTTGTCTATCTATACTGATGCCCTGTTTAGGGTATTTAAGCAGATCAGGGGGAGCACTTTGTGTGACAGGCAAAGTTACCAGCATCTTCTGTGGTGTGCAGACTTTTCAATATAGCACAACTCCCAAGGAGGGGTCCTCCAGCATATGTGACAGGCTGTGGAGTTGCATAATGTGATGACTCTCCTTTGTGTCTCCCTAAAATTCTCACATATCTTAGCAAGAAACTAATTATTTGAAAGTCTGAGTAGATTGCAACAGCCAAATGGTCTCACAGTTAGCGACCAAGTATATAAATTAAAAAGAGAGCACACAGGGCCTGCAGGGGTTTGCCTGCCCTCTTTTTGCCAGCCAGGTTTATTCCCTGAATGTCAGATAACAACTAAAGGACCTAAAGTTGGTGAAGTGTGGAGGGCAAACTAAAGAGAATAACTTGCCTAACTGTGTCACTCTTTATCATGTCAAGGCAGATGGCATAAGGGAAAAGCTCTCCTCTCGGATATCCTGAACGGCCTAGACACATATTTCATATTTAGGGTGCATCTGTACTATAGATTTAAAGCAAGATACTACTTTAAACAGTCATGGCTTTCCCCAAATAATTATGGGAAGTGTAGTCTGCGATAGGGGGTGCTCACCTGTGTTCTTTGAGTCTTGCTTGATTCAAATGGAAGGCAGACGCCAGTAAATCTAGGTCTGTTATTAACTCTCTTGAAACTACATAGTTCCTTCCTTTCTACTAGATGTTTAAGTACTATATATATATATATAATTTTGTCATCTTAATTTACAAGGTCCATGTTCTCATTACTTCATGCTGCTCTACATTGGCTGGTGGGTAGTTCCCATCTAAAAAGTGAAACCCACAAATCTACACTTTCCAAACAATATGGCAACCAAAACATAGCCATCTTTTGAAATTTGAAATTTGTACTTCTCTGAATGTTGCAGTGTAGTTCTCCAGCCAAGTAGCATGTACAAAAATGCATACAGTACACTGAAGTGTATTTAAAAACGCACAAGTTCATGAAAGTAACGTGCAAAATGCACCGTATTAGAGGGAATTGCTTTGCAAAAGGGGTCTTGGGCAAAATTGCATATGAAAAACTGCAAATTAGGAGAAAATTACACTGAAACGTTGATGAATTTTAACGAGGACTTTTAAAAAAATCACAAACTGGTGTGAAAATGTGGAAGGCTGAACTTAAGATTGGAAAAAGGGGAAACTGAGAGATAGTGAAACTGACAGATTCGCCCACCCCTAGAGGTATAAATGGTAGGGTGTTTTTTTGTTTTTTTGCTGGCCCATCTAGATGCTAATGGAGCAGAAACAGCATGGTAGTAATTGTGGGCCTCAACAGAGCGCTTTCCTTCCTGAAAGGTATCTTTCTGTGATTCTGTGCAGGGTGTTTTACCTCGACGGCTGTGGTAATTGCTGCATACGCCTCAGACAGCTCAGCTGTGCTCCTTTTGAACACAGGTTGCCACAGCAACAGCTAGCAGCGGAGAAAGGTCTATTTGGCAAGCATTTCACAGCAGTGTTTGCTGTATAAAGCTGTTTACCAAGGAATTAGCAAGCTCTTAACACTGCAAATAGAAAGCAATCACCTGGCCTTTCCCTGCTCTTCTGCCCTCCATGCTAACCTCTGCTACTGGATATGGTATTCTATAGGTGGGTTAGAATCTCCTAAGGAAGAGCTTAGTTGTTTCCAGAGGAAACCTGTGAAAATTGTTTGAAGACTTTGTTGTCATTTGCACCCATTGCCCTATGCAACATGTCCAGTTTTCTTCACAGGAGGGAGGTTTTGTCATTCCTACATAAAAACAGTCCTACTAGATCAGATGTCCATCTAGTTCAGGGGTGGAGAACCTCAGGCCTGGGAGCCCAATGCAGCCCTCCAGGCCTCTAGGCCTTTGAAAGTGGCTTTGCAGGCACCCACAAAAACCATTTTGGCTGGGACAGGTTTTAGGGCAAGTGGGGTGTGACTTGGTTGAAATG